CAGCTTCAGACAAACAGGAAGTGGATCTGTGTGTTGAATCAGAGACGTTCATGGAGCTCAGAGTTACAGACAGACAGTGAAGGGGTCACGAGTGTGTGCCTGACCTTTGACCTCTGAGTGTGTGATTATTGTTAAATGTGAAGTTTGTTCGTTATCAGGTCGGGTCAGAGGTCATTCAGAAGCATCAGCAGCGTGTTAGCTTAGCGAAAAGGTGTGTGTGTGTGTGTGTGTGTGTGTGTGTGTGTGTGTGTGTGTGTGTGTGTGTGTGTGTGTGTGTGTGTGTGTGTGTGTGTGTGTGTGTGTGTGTGTGTGTGTGCCTCCTGTCTGTCTCTGAGTGCAGCTGAAGTGTCGGGGATGATGAGGAGCGTGATGAAGCACCACTGCTGCTCTGCATTTTAACACACACACACACACACACACACCCACACACACACACACACACACACACACACACACACACACACACACACACACACACACACACGGTCATTAATCCTCAGCGCTGCAGCTGCTTCAAGTGTTTCCTGATCTGTAAACATGATATTCAGGAAAACAGACATTTGCTGAGAACTGAGGAAAGATATAACGGTGAATGTGTGTGTGTGTGTGTGTCTGTGTGTGTGTGTGTGTGTGTGTGTGTGTGTGTGTGTGTGAACATGATGGTGGAAGTTGACTAGTTTTCTCTTATTCTCTAATCGGTTTCTGTGTCTCAGTTTTTTTTTTGTTGCATCACTTTTTAGTCCATTTACATTTTGTGTTTTGAGTCTTTGAGTCTTTGAGTCTTTGAGTCTTTGAGTCTTTGTCCCTCTCCTTGTAACGTCAGATCTTCTTACTCGGCCTCCAGGCCACCGGATGCTGTTCTCTGCTTCACAGAAGTGAATCCCCTCCAGCCAAACGAGTGATCTGATCTCTGCTCTGCGTCCTTTGAATCCTGTGCAGGTTTTTCAATGTTTTCCAACCGGTTTCTCCTCAGAGTTTCTCCTCAGAGTTTCTCCTCAGAGTTTCTCCTCAGAGTTTCTCCTCAGAGTTTCTCCTTCACTACGACTGAGGCGGTGTTTAAGAACAGTCCATTTATAATAACAAATGACTACGTGCCATATTTGACGGCACTTTTTAACGGACGCTGGAGCAGAGAGGGTCGTCTGAACGGAGCATGACGTTTTATGGGAACCTAATTCTGTTATTATCCATTGTTAAAGTTATTAAATGTGAGTCCTTGTTTGGCGGCAGTTTATAAAAGGACTCAGTTAACCCTGATGTTAGGTCTCTGATGCTGCTGGATCCACCTCTGATCACCTCTGACCTCTGATCACATGACACTGTTTCATTGATTATATTGTCTTGTTTTGTGATGTTTTACGGCGACCTTGAGATCCTTGAAAGGCGCCTTTATGAATCAAATGCATTATTATTATAATTATCACATATTTCTCGTGTCTTTTCGTCTTGAAGAAGACCTCCGCTGCTCTTCATCTCTTCGGTTTTAGGTTTTTTCAGTAGTTGTTCCTGATCTGAGTCGAGTTGTGAACCTCTTCAGGAAAGATTTAGGATTTTTGATCTTGTTTTAAAACTTCTGAATCATGTGATGCAGAATCAGAAACATGTGTGTTTCCAACGGAGAGGTTTCATCTGAATCAGTGTGTGATATATTTATCTATCTGAAGCACACTGAGGGAGGAAGCATGCTCGTGACCATTTGTATATTCAACACTCAACACAATGACATGATAAATACAGTATGGTGTAACACACACACACACACACACACACACACACACACACACACACACACACACACACACACACGTTTGTTGTTTCTGTGAAGTACAAGCAAAATAATGCAGACGGTGTAAACAGTACTGATGACAGAGGAAGTTTTATTATTCAATTTAGTGCAACTTTATTCGTACGTCCTGTGTTTGTCTCCAGCTGTTACCTCGAAACAGTTCAGAAAACAAAACAACAACATATTTTGTAAATCAATTAATTTATCATTTTCATGAAAAAGCTTCCTTTGTTGGTCACTACATCTATTACACAAGTCTTTATACGCACTATATACAATATTTACATTTAGTATTTATATTTCTGTAGAAGGAAAAGATCATTAAATGTGTTGTCATCCTGCTCTCTGATTGGCTGCAGTGTGACCAATCAGAGAGCAGGATGACAGAGAGGCTTTAAGATGAACACCTCATGAGGTGAGTTATAGATTAGCTCAATCAATCACATGAAGGGAAATGATTCCTGAGTTGGATAAGCTTTAAGAAACATCCCAGATCTCAGAGGGTTCCTTAAATGATACTCGTTCCTCAGGAGGAGCCTCAGAGCTGGGAGGGAACATGAAGGTCTTTCTAACTGGCTGGGTATGGAAATGTTTTCCCACTAAGATTTGTTAGAAAATGTTTTAATTGACTGAATTTATTTGAAAAGTAGCGTATTAAGACACAAATACTGCTGTGTAATATATGTTTATATATATATATATTTAAGGAGTACAATATAAGCCAAGTACACGCTCAGGTGGGAAACTGATCACAGATCATATTGTTTTTTTACACTGATAGAAACGCATTAATTACAACATTTAAAACAATAAAAACAGAAGCAGAAATAATTTTTAAATAATTATTACATTCTCACATGAAGCAAAATAAATTGCATAAAAGCAACAAAATTGAATTTTCTATGAATTTCTAAATAAAGTAATTGAAGTAAGAAAACAGATTAAACAACATGACATTAAGAGTTAGATTTTACTCTAAAGTTCAGAAACACCATTTATTTATTATAATAAATGACAAAATGTTGAAAAATAGAATATCTAATAATGCGCGTCGGTACAAAATAAATGTTTAGAATACAACATTATTGTTTAAATAATATAAATAACAACGTTTTTTTTAAATAAATATAAATAATGCATGTCAACAAATTACAAAAATAAACACATTAAATATAAAATAATAATACGATTATTGTTACAATATATTATTACAGCGTTAATTCAATGTTTCTGCTGCAGAGTGTCGGAGCGTGTCTCTGCATCCTGAACACACACACACACACACACACACACACACACACACACACACACACACACACACACACACACACACACACACACACACACACACACACACACACACACACACAAAAACATTATCAGATCAAGAGGTCAGAGGTCAGACATGTCAAAGTGGCTGTTTGCTAACACACACACACACACACACACACACACACACACACACACACACACACACACACACACACACACACACACACACACACACACACCCTCCCCAGGGACCCCCCCCCCTCTGTCTGCATGTATCTCTCATCAGAAACACAAAGCTGCCTTCATGGAAACAGAAACAATTGTAATTTTTAAATAAACATTTGCTTTCTTGTGATTATATTTATTTTATTGTTATTGTATTATAAATAAAAAATAACATTATGGATTGTTCTCTTAAAAACTCAACCCGATCATTAACTAACGACTCTCTCACATTATTAAATCACTTATTAAACATTATCTAATTCATTAAAGTGCTTTATTATTTATCACTGCGGGAGAAACGCGCGCATAAAGACCGCAACGAACTGTACAGGATAGTCCTAATTATAATAATACAAATAATAATAACATGTATTGTAATAATGATAATAATATTTGGTGCGTTTTTGCGTAATTACGGGAAACGGAAATGGCTGCTTTAGTAAATATATTCCCTTTTCCACAAAAACAAAAAACGAAATGTCTTTAAATTCACAGCCAATAATCTCCCCTTCCCTTTGTGCCTCTGCAAAATAAAATACAGACGTTTTAAAATATAGTTTTTGTAATAATCGAAACCACTTAAATTATCTCAAAACAACCTTAAAGGAAAAAGCGCTGAAATAACTCTTCATTAAACGGAAATAAAACCCTTCAGTCTGTCTTCTGTAATGATTAACAGCTCAGCCGAGAGGTCAAACCTAACGCTTTCATTTACTGATTTAAAAAGGGGAAAACAAGTGCATTTTGTCCCTTAAATAAACCCTTAAATAAACCCTTAAATAGTCCTTACCGTCAGCATTAAAGGTAAGGTACGAAATGAAAGCGATCAAATCGAGAAGGAAAATTAGGAGGAATTAAAAACAATTTATTTTACAGGATGTTTGTTTAATTCAGTGCAAATTAAAAACAGGAAATAAAGATGTATTAAGAGTAGTTTAACAGTCCGATAATTTGTGCGCAAAAGTTTGGAATTATTGTCCAAAAATCTGTCTTTTTAGATCTATTTATTTATTTAATTGTAACGATGATTTGCTCCCGCCTCGCGCTGCAGAGAAAGGACATGAAGCAGAAACCAAGCCATTCAATCCTCAAATAGCGGCTCTATTTGTCAATGCAAATTGGTGAGGGGCACCCAGCACCCCCCGCTTAATACACACACTCTCTCACACACACACTCTCACACACTGCGCGTAAAATGTGTCCAAACATACCTCCACAGCGCGGCTCTCTCCTCCCCGGACACAGAGCTCTTTCTCCCGGCTTGTCTCTGCGTGTTTTGGCTCCGAATGAAAGTAACTGAAACAACATTGTAACGTGCACACGCGCACACACACACACACACACACACACACACACACACACACACACACACACACACACACACACACACACACACACACACACACACACACACACACACACACACACACACCACACACACCTCTCTCTCTCTCTCTCTCTCTCTCTCTCTCTCTCTCTCTCTCTAAACCCCTCCCCTCTCTCTCTCTCTCTAAGATCATGTGATGGAGAAGAAAAGTGGCTCATTAATGAGTTTCCTCTGCGGAGGACAGTCGGGATGGAGCAGCAGAGACACCGGGGATATAAACTCACTTTAACTTTAGTTCTGAGCGTAAAGAGAGCCGGAGCGATGCGTGCCAAACACCACGAGAGCCTCTCCTCGTGCGTAAAGCAGTTTTAAAGAGTTGGAGACAGAGCGTCAGGATGTCTCGGTGCGTAAAGCAGTTTTAAAGAGTTGGAGACAGAGCTGCTTCAGGATGCCTCGGCCCGGAAGGAACACCTACAGCGACCAGAAACCTCCCTATTCCTACATCTCTCTCACGGCCATGGCCATCCAGGGCTGCCCGGAGAAGATGCTGCCGCTCAGCGAGATCTACAAGTTCATCATGGACCGCTTCCCGTACTATCGCGAGAACACGCAGCGCTGGCAGAACTCCCTGCGCCACAACCTGTCCTTCAACGACTGTTTCATCAAGATCCCGCGCAGGCCGGACCAGCCGGGGAAGGGCAGCTTCTGGGCTCTGCACCCGAGCTGCGGGGACATGTTCGAGAACGGGAGTTTCCTGCGGCGCCGGAAGCGGTTCAAGCTGCTCGGAGGCCTTCTGCTCGCGGACCCTCTGACGGTCAGCAGTAAGGCTCAGGAGTTCCTCATGCAGCAGCAGCGCGAGGCCAAGCTGCGGCTCAGCGCCCTGCACGCGCACCTGCCGCCGGGCGGCTACACGAGCTCCTTGCCGTTCAAACACCCATTCGCGATCGAGAACATCATCGCGCGAGAGTACAAGATGCCCGGTGGCCTCGCGGGCTTCCCCCCCGCGGGGTTCCCGCTGCACCACGCGCCTCTCCCCCCGCCCTGGTCGGTGTACGGCTCCGGGATGATGGACAGCAGCGACTTCCCGCCCTACAGCCTGCAGACTTTTCCCGCCATCCCCGTGCCCATCAAGCCCCCCCACGGGCACGGGGCCATGCTGCACGCGCACCTCCCGGCCTTCCTCGCGCACTCCCCCGCGCGGTCCCCGCAGAGCCCCCCCGGAGAGGAGCTCTCTCCCCCCGCGGGGCTGCAGGTGTCGGTGCACTGACGGAACTCTTTTATATCCAAAATGAACTCTTTAAAAAAAGCGTCTTCATGTCCAGGAGAGGAAGCGTTTCATTATGTTCTATTTCTAATAAGAAATACATCATCCTGTAAAGAAACAGTTTGTCTGGACGGAACTCTTTTTATATAAAACACGAACTCTTTAAAAAAAGGAAAGACTTCTTCATCCCGGAGAGTGCGACATGTGGAGAATTCACGTTTTATTTCTAATAAGAAATGAATCCTGTAAAGAAAGAGCGTGACCTCTGACCTCCAAACAGCAGAAATAATGACTTTATTTGATTTCATTTACTCCAGAGGCTTCCACCCTGTTCCACGGTGTTCCACGGTGTTCCACGGTGTTCCACGGTGTTCCTGGCGCGTGACAGAACTCTTTTTTATATAAACAACGAACTCTTTAAAACAAAAAAGGAAAGTCATATCAGCTCCAAAGCTTCCTGGACTTTGTGTGAGGATGCGTTTTATTATATAGTTTTATTTCTAATAGGAAATAAACTCATCATCCTGTAAAGAAAGAGCGTGACCTCTGACCTCCAAACAGCAGAAATAATGACTTTATTTTTGATTTAATTTACTCCCTCGCATTCCTCGGTGTCCCCGGTGCACGGAACTCTTTTTATATAAAACAAGAACTCTTTAAAACAAAAAAGGAAAGTCTTATCAGCTCCAAAGCTTCTTCCTGTCCAGGAGTGACTTCATTATTATTATTATATTATTTCAGTTTATTCCCCTCACATTCCTCGGCGTGACAAAGTGTTCCTTTTTATCTAAAACACGAACTCTTTGAACAGAAAAAGGGAAAGACGTCTCGACTCCAAAGCGTCTTCATGTCCAGGACTTCATGTGTTTCATGATCTAATGATTTGATCTGTTATCTCTAATAAGAAACTCATCAGTCCTGCTGTAGAGAGAGAGAGCGTGACCTCTGACCTCTGACCTCCAAACAGCAGAAATAAGGACATGATTTCATTTTGTTTCTCTCGCTCACATTCCTCCGTGTTCCCGGTGTTCCTGACAAATTGCTCTGGATCTTTTGTGCCGCCCTTTCTCCCGCTCTGAAAGCCAGCCTCAGATTAATGACTCTTTGAGATTTGTTTCCACTTCACTTCAGTTTCCTTTCTGCGGCGCCAACAAAACCCCTGAAGGAAGTTTCTCTGCTTCCACTCGCAGGACTTTTGTTCCCGGATAAAGGCAGCGGAGGAAAAGCTTCATAAAAATGCAAATGAGCCAAATAATGACCCCTGTTTGGAAACGTCTGTCATCGATACGAACAATCTGAGAGACTTGAGATCATATATTGAAGTCAGAGGTTCTGCATACTTTAAAACCTGGAGACATTTGACCATGAACGCAACGCTCTGATGCACTTTGAAGAAAAAGAGATCTAAATGTTTTTTATTCAATTTCTGTTTCAGTTTAATTTAAAGTTTTCTAAAAATGTTGAGATGAGTGTGTGTGTGTGTGTGTGTGTGTGTGTGTGTGTGTGTGTGTGTGTGTGTGTGTGTGTGTGTGTGTGTGTGTGTGTGTGTGTGTGTGTGTGTGTGTGTGTGTCCTGCTGCATGCTCCTGCTGTCTGAACAATATTTCAGTGTTTGTGAGTTTCTGAACTAAAAAGCATGAACATGAACAGCGTGGGATTTGTGTTCCCTGAGCGTCGTCTGCTCATCCACTTCCATTAAAATACCTTCCTGAGAAAAGTGACTTTAAAAAAGCTGTGAAGAGGCCTGTTATTCACACACACACACACACACACACACACACACACACACACACACACACACACACACACACACACACACACACACACTGGTCACTTCATGTTTAATTAAACATTTTTATAAATAAATGAGAGAAATTCAATACAACCAAAATCTGAATGGTATTTTCTTTGCTGTGATTTACACCAGATTGTCATATATCAGTGTTTATTGATTGATTGCTCTGATAATCAGGTGTATTTCCTTTTATCTCTCACCTGTCGGATCATTTCCTCCTCACTCGTCAGGTCTGTACATCCTTAAGCTATAAATCCCTAAAACTGAAGGATCAGGATCTTTGGCGTCAAATATTTAACGTTAAAATTGAACGTAACTCCAGTGTCTCTGTAGGGTTTTTAAATGACTGTGACCACTCTATATATTAACAATGTTAACAGTGATTTAAATATAGAAATGTAATAAACTGTAAGATCCTGCAGGTTTAACAAAAACACTTCTAATATTTATTCAGAAATCAAAAAATCTTCCAGTTCTCATTTTGTGACATTCAATGCTCTTTCACATTCGGTGCAAACAGATTGAAACCGGCTAATTCATTAATAATATATATATATATATAATAGTGTTGCAGAGATACACAACGGACGCTGTGAAAATATGTTCAGGACTTAAATACAAATACACTTTGCAGTATTTCATCCTGTGTATTCGCCGCTCCCAGGATCTGTACCTCAAATATGTTCAGCTAATAAATAAAATGACTAATTAAACATCAGTAATAATCATGAATATATCACTAAAGGGTTCATCTATCTGTTATATTTGTACTTGTCATACATGTTGCTGGTAACGTATACAAATCTAAACTTAAAAGTCATATTTTAAATGACTCTTACTTGTAAAAGGAAAATCATTTTGTCTCATTTGGAAAAGGATCCAACATGTCCTGCTGCTTCACACAAACTATAAGGATGCCTTTTTATTATCCTGTATTCAAACCACACATTTTAAACAAGTGTTCGTCACTAAAAGGTGTTTTAAAAAAATATATAAAATTGTTTTACAAGTGAGTTTTTACTCCAGCAACAGATTTAAAAACAAGTGTTTGTTGCTTTTACTGTCAGCCTTTTTATCTCCATCATGTCCTTCAGGTCCAAAAGACAATCTTTATCAAACCACAACATTTAAAACAAGTGTCCGTGGCTCAAACCAACTATAGGTGTTTCTTTTATTGTAAATATGTTTAATAAGTGAGTTTTCAGACCCACAAAGTGTCTTTGGGAATATATCACTCATCATTTAAAGGTGACTCTGAACTAAGGAGCTCTGAATTGAGGAACAGATCAAACCTGTGTTCAGATGCAGTTTGAGTTTACAGATGAACGACAGAGTTTAAAGGTTTGTCTGTTGATTCTTCTAACAATTAAAGCTTTAAACCCCAGAGACCCTCAGAGTGAGGTCTGCAGGTCAGAGAGAGACTCATAGCGTCTGTGTTCCTGTCCTCGAGGCGCTGAGACTCAGAGAGACTCATAGCGTCTGTGTTCCTGTCCTCGAGGCGCTGAGACTCAGAGAGACACATAGCGTCTGTGTTCCTGTCCTCGAGGCGCTGAGACGGACGGAGGGTTTTATTTATTCTGCAGATTGTATTTATTCTTCATGCTTTCATTTATTCTGCTGGTTTTTTTGTCCCCGGAGTGACGGAGGTCCGCTGAGTAAACACTGAGGGGATTATCCAGTTAACACTTCACTGTGTGTGTGTGTGTGTGTGTGTGTGTGTGTGTGTGTGTGTTGCCCAGAGACGGAGACTGTTACCCTAAAAATGTCACTCTGTGAACGACCCCCCCCCCCAGCTTTGTGACCACACACAGTAAAACAGATGAGGTTTAAAGAGGGACACACACACACACACACACACACACACACACACACACACACACACACACACACACACAACACACACACACACCACACACACACACACACACACACACACACACACACACACACACACACACACACACACACACACACACACACACTCACACACACACACACACACACACACACACACACACACACACACACACACACACACACACACACACAAACACACATCACACACACACACACACACACACACACACGTTAAAGTCTAATTCCTCTCGTCATCATGTTGTCAAACTCTTCTTCAATCAATGCATTAAATCCACGAGTTAATTTGTTATTGTTGTTTTATTCAAATTTCTAAATGGAGTTGTTGACATGGATCTACTTTATTTATCCCAACGTCTAAGGTTATTTGTGCAGCAGGTGATCAGGCGTTGCACTAAGTACACACTGACTGCACACATATAAAAGGTATCTTTAGAAAACACAATATAACAGTCAAACGATAAGTAAGAATTCACTGTAACATCTGGACGCAGAGCGTTGTGTGAACTCATTGGAAAGTCGTTTTGCAGTTTTTAGATTTCAGTTCATTTTAAAAATCAAAGTTTATTTATTCAGCCCAACATCACACGTCTCAGTGGGCTTTAGGGATGAACAACAAACAACAACACTGTAAACAATAACATTACAGCAAAATGAAAATACAAGATATAGTGTGTAAAATACAAATATAAATAAAACTAAATAAGATACAAGAAAAGACAATAACAATACAGAAAACAATAAAATAAAGTACCGTACAGTTAAATAAATGAATCCCATAAAATGCCAGCTCTCACTAAAGGCTTTGCTAAAAAGGAAAGTCTTTAACGCACTCTTTAAAGATGGACACCGTCTGCCTCTCTGACAGAAACAGGAAGTAGTATCCAGAGAAAGTGAGCTCTGACTCTGGGCTCCACTAACAGACCTGAACCCTGCGTGTAATGCCATAGTGGGACAGGAGATGATTTTAGATCTGTACCAGAAGTGGCTCTTTGTTATTCAGACCTCCAGCTGTGACAGAGCAGCGAGACGAGTCATCAGAAGTGTGAGTGTCCTTTAAGGTCCAATCATCAGAATCACATTCTCTCTTAGCTCGCTTTTGGTCTCCTGCTCCTGAAATATCCGTCTTTTCAGCAACTCAAAGCTTTATGTTTCCTAACTCGTCGTTTATTGCTGAGAAAGTGTAAAAACAGAACATTATTATCTGTATCTGTGTTCTGCGTTCGTTCCCAAGAGAAATGACTGCAGAATTCACGGTATTTATCAAAGATTGAAACATGAAACCAAACACTATATGTGACTTAAGTTGAAGTGAAAATATAAATAACATTAAG